ATGAACTTGGTCTCACGGCGTACATTCTCAATTCGCTCGTGATACGAGTCCAAGGATGAGCAAATGGCATCCTGTTTTCATTGGGATAAAAAAATGAGAACAGAATACCACAAGAGAGCGAACAAAAGATGCAAAAGTGAATCTGAAGAAAAAAATCGTTCTACCGAGTGAATTATCCATCACCCGATGATATTGTGAACGGCAATTTCCGTTAAAGCATTCGAATGGCTTCAGCATAATAACTAATATTCATAAACATTGATTTGGGGATTTCTAACAGACTGATAGGAGATATCAGTATGCTCAGAGTTCAAATCTATTTGACGAACCATGAGGTATGTACTTTTTGCACACACACACACACACACACACACACACACAAAGGCCAGATTTCTATTATTTTGACTGCAACCGAAGCAGCCCCGGGGGGTTGGTGTCAGCATACATGATCTTAAATCGGCTTGTTTGGGTCCGGACCACGGACGCGTCATCAACCGATGTCGAGAGATAGATGATACAGACTGTTTGTGTGTTCGGTGTCCTTGGGTAGGTAGGGGGCTGGTACTGATGCAATGTTATCGAGTGTGTTAGTGCTGAGTGATGCATGGATGGATGTGGGTGTGTGGGGGGGGGGAGGGGGTTGAGAGGTTAAATCGGGGAATGACGTTTGATCATGGGATTCAGTCAATCGACGCCTAACTCAAAATGGAATGTGCTCCTGGATCCGTGTATGCAATTGGCTATCTGTTCTGCTAGTTAGTGTAAGGTGTTCCGCATCCACAGGCAAACTGTTAAAGGATGTGTGATTTGGCGGACAGTGGACCGGGTTTGATTTGCCGTTGGAGTGCGGATACGTGAGGTTGTGTGTAACCTGATTGATGTACTGTTAAACGATATAAACGGTAACTTTCTGCTGTATTGTTATTGCACCAGTTGAGATGCAGTGAAATGTGTCTTGGCACATCATACATCGTGCAACCTAGCTTTGTTGTTGTTGAGCTCTCTTTCTCTCTCTCTCTCTCTCTCTCTCTCTGCAAGTTTATCTCGGGAGATAAACGGAAATAAACGATTTCGACCCATGAGGACGCAGATTACCTGATCAACCGCGAATTTTCACATCCCAGGAGGGATTTTCCAAACCGAGTATGATTAACTCCGAACGTGATTTCCGCGATTACATAAACCGCGGATGTGTGAATAGTGAGAGAATAGATTTAAGGGTGTTAATGACGAACGATAGCAAGCGTGTCAAAAACTGGGGTGTGCGAATAAATCGAGTGCCCTCATTCACAACTCGAACCAGTCTACTGAACTAGGACACAAATTCCGGGTATCTTCGATTTGTCTTGAGGACAGATACACTCGGGTTGGCTTTTCTGACCTGTTTCTTGAACGGTTACTCAGAAAAGAACGTCTATTTATTCCCGTAGAGAAACCTTTAGGCCTATGTGGCATTCGATTATCTAACAATCACAAATTGGAGCAATGCAAAAAAGAGTCAAATAGAAATCAAACATGCGTACATTTTTTGTGTCCCCGTGTCAGGACTCGAACCGCGAACTTTCGGGTTGGGACCTCAAACCTTTATCCGTGACGGTCATGATCACCTTGTGCGAATGATTCAATCAGATTTTACAGTAGCAAGCTTGGATTAGCCCATTCGATTGTTCAGAGGCACAGGGCACTCTTTATTGATAGTCTTAGGTGTGTGAGTATCACTCCTTGGGAGATTGTTAATTTCCCACTAGTTCAATGAACGATCACCCAAGACCATAAATAGTGCCTGGTGCCTCTTAAACAATCGAATAGGGTTAATCCAAGCATGTTACTCTAGAAATTAAAGATCTTACAATGGAATAGCACAGCGCCGATGTGATCTGATTAGTCAGCTAGATTTCGGACTGTTTTACGGAAAGTTCTGGACAACATATTTCTTCTTATCTTTCCAGTTCACGTTCCGTCGGCTCTATACACGACGAATTCCCTCTTAAAAATCGTGTAAAGTCAAGTTGAATGCCACTCCGGAGGCGAAGGAATAAAAGTACAAACAGAACCCACCTTGAATTCGTCGATCGTCACAAATTCGTGGAAACACGGGAGGATATCGTCCAGTCTGAGGAGAGTACATTCCCTCAACAGTTGTGTTGCTTCTTGCGGTTGACTCTGTTCGGCAATCACGTGTCGAGCTGAAGAGTAAAACAAACTGGTCAAATTGCCAGACCAGAAAAATCAAACCATTATTGCTGTGTGTGTGTGTGTATTAACTCGCCATAACACACACACACACACACACACGAAGAAAGACGTACCGAGTTCCAACCACAACGCGCGACGTTTCTCCTTACTCAGTGTTTCTGTTTTCGCAATATCTTTTGCCATAACGTTCATTTTCTGAAATGTGTATGAATTGGGGGAAAAAACAGCAACAGTAGTAGTAGTAGTGGTTGAAAATCCCATCCGATACCAGAAGTAATTATAAAGTCATTAGTGGATAACTAGAAAATCTGCGATTTGGTCTACCTTTGTGATGTGGGACAGTCGTCCTCCGGACAACCAATCAATGACCGTGGCGGTTGATGTTGAGCAACACAATTATTAAGGCCGAGTTAGAGAGATTACTTACTCCGTCAGCCTACTGGACTATCCAGTTCACTAGACAATCACTCTGAGTGGACCTTTCGACATGAATATCTCGATTCGGTGAATTGTGGTATCACTATTGTGAACAAGTTCCCGAGGTGTTTTTTTATTACATACTTAAGTGTGATGAACAGCAGACAGAGTGAACCCCATAGTCACGAGAACCTGCTGTTGAGTTGTGGAAACCGGCAAACTAAACCCCAGGACTTGGAGTGGGGCGAACCACATAAGGTCCCGATAGACTAGACGTGGTACTGAACCGGACGACAGCAGAGCTGCCTACCACCAAAGTCGGGTGGCGGAACTCGAACCTCGGACCACAGCACGGACCAAAGCACGCCGGTGACAGCGACTAAACCACTGCGACTCTCCTCTCATAAATAAAGTCTTCTGTAGACAGTAGTACACAGTTCTCTTCGATAGTCCTAGCAGAATTCCAGTTCTTTGTGAATTTGGCCATGGATTATGCATTTGCAGATCGGGCTGGTGGGTGGGTGTTATTCATTGGGTTTTTGATGGGGACCAACTGATTCAGCTATCTTTGAGGCACACAGCGCCTTCGCATATTCGAACGATAACCCTGTTCGTCTCCCTAGGAGAATGAAGCTGTTTCGATTACGAAACAAAAAGGGACACGTGTTATCGATATCAGAAAGTTGGGCTTTTGTTCATTTACTTCCATAAGTTTTTGTTTATTCCATCTAAATCTAATTGCACCCGTTTGCCTCCAGTCGTAACCAATGCGTTTGCGACCAAATGCACAAACTGGAACGGATTACTCTGTAAATTATATTTGGAGTTCCAAGTGAGTGATGGAGGATTTGGTTCAATTTCAAAGGCGAATTCGTCGTGTATATAGCAAATAAAGTGTGAACTGACAAGCTAGGAAGCACTGGACAGCTGTGTTTGACCTGCTTGGGTCTCATCAACAGCAGTGAGCGAATCCATTGACACGACTGGGGATCGAACCCGGGACCTCACAGGCAGAACGCAAGCGTGCTACCCACCCGGTCACCGAGGAGCTGATCCGACTGTTTTTCATCTTCCATTTACACGATATAGCACGACGAATTCACTTTCGAAATTGAACGAAATCCTCCACTACTCACCTTAACTAAGTAGTCAAGTTGTGAATGTTTCCAACCGAGTCATAACCCTGGAGGCTAGTGATGAGACGAGCGAGGTCTGTGACCTGCAACAAGCTCGCAAAGATGGGTTGTACTATATCGTGTAAATGGAAGATGATTAGCTACTCGGTGACCGAGTGGGTAGCACACTTGCTTTCTACCTGTGAGGTCCCTGGGGTTCGATCCCCAGTTGTGTCAATGGATTCACTCACTGCTATGAGACCCGAACAGGTCGAAACAGCTGTCCAGTGCTTCCTAGCTTTCCGGTTCACGCTTCATTTGCTATATATAGTAAGACGAATTCACCTTTGAAGTACTTGGAGTTGTTCGATCGGGGAATGGGTGAACGATAACCTATACAATTGAGATCTGTGTGTACTATGGGCAACAAAATAGTACTGGACACCAGCTTCGTCAATGTCCCGACGCATTTGCAATGCGTACCGCATGTGTGTGTGTGTGTGTGTGTGTGTGTGTGTGAGTGCCTCCATGTGGTGACCAGGAACGGCGAACTTTGTGTGATCTATCGACAACGGTTGATCACTAAATCAAATCGCACTACATACGCGCGCCCGTGCCCATAAAAATTTTGTGAAACGACAGAATCGGTTCCAAAGGATTGTCATCCGTAAACTATGCACAAGCACAATTTATTGAACTATATAGAAGTAACAGTAACAAAAACCGAATTTTCGTCGAGTGCTTAACCCGAATAGAGAGTGAAACTCAAAAGTTAGGCAAAATCAAAAAGTGGAGCGCGGATCGCTCACACACACACACACACACACAGAGTTCAGTTGGACACTTACAGCTTGCAAGGCGGTCTGAAGCGCTTGTTGATGCATACCCATCAGTTTGAGCAGATGAATTGTCCCGTACAAGTGACCGACTTCTTTGCACGTGCGCAAAGCGAACCCCGGGTCGAACGGGAGGGCTGTGAACAATGTGTGAAGAGAACGCACACGTACACACACACACACACACACACACACACACACACACAGGTATTACGAGGCTCATTCGCAGATGGGAAAAATTTAAAAAAGAACGCGAAATATGCAGACAGGACGAAACGCGCTGAATGTGAATCAAGAGGGGACAAAATCTTGGCCATCTTGTGGAGTTTTATTCGTGTGGAATAAAAAATTAACCGTCAAGCACAACCAGCTTCAATAAACTATTCGTTTTGAATCGAAATTCGAGACATCAGATACAATCGTTTGTTCAAGAAAAGGTACGTGCATGAAAAAAAAAAGACTTCGTTCGAGGCCTCGAAACGGGGAGGGATAACCGGTGCTGCCTAGATGAATTTTATTTCAGACAAATGGGAACTTCAAAATTTCTGTCCTGACTGATTATTCAAAAAAAAATCTAAATAACAAACGATCAAACATTGCGGATAATTCATCAAACTACAAGCTACAATCGCACCTGGTTTGGTGTTTCACATTTATGCTTCAGTATTCTTTTCTTTTTTTTGAAAGGAAGAAAAACAAGGTTATTCGCAATAGTCTTTACTTGCAATCTTCAGTCCACTGTGAGAGGAGTGAAAATCAGTGTTTTTTTCTTTAACCGTCCAATCAGCGTCCACGGGTGAGATGTAACTATTCAAATAACAAAACCTATCCACTTGTTCTATTACTTCCCCGGTTAGAAAGAGGCTCGGAGCCTCCGAAAACCTCAGTATGGTCGGGATTAGACATCGTAGGTAGTGATTGATCATCCACTGCCCCATGCACCTGGCGAGATGGTCCTATACAACTAAGCGTCTCAAATAGGTTCTACTGAGGAAGCCCTACTCACTGCCTTCCCGTGCTGGCGAAGGTGTTTTTTCTCTCACCAAATTGAGAGGACGAAAACCCAATATCTAGGACTATAATCAGGTTGGTGAACCACCACTGACAGTACATCTAAGGAAGTTGGCTAAAAACTCTAATCCCAAACTAACCAAGATGAGTTCTACAAATCAGGTAACTATTTCTGGTCTGGCCACCGACTCGATTGACTATGGAGGTGTACTGGACCACTTGAATGTACGTCCTCATCCAAAGGGTGTATAATCCGATGAGTTGGACACCGGTTCCCAACGGGTTGCGGTTTTCAAACACCGTCCCAGATCAGAATTTTGGTTAGCCGAACACTTCGGTTGTGAACTCCTTAAGAAAAATGACCTACTTTGACCTGGGCAACAATTCAGCAGTAGCATGCCCTCAAACAAATCACGGACTTTTTTCTTTTTACAAATTCTGTGGCTTTTTGTAGCACATAGTATGACCTCAGGCTTGAGTAAAATAAATTATATACAAATCGTGACCCCAATCGTACCATGAGGCGATTGTGAATAGATAAACGGAGAGAATCAGTGACTAATGATCGGATGAACAGGCCTCGTATTTGTCTATTCTCAGTAGATTTCATTGTGGTATTACGCAATTCATGGGGGAACTAAGCGTATGTGTATATGGATGTGGTAAATGACTGCTCATATGCACTCAGTCTGATGGAGGAGTCTGAAAAGAGTGTCTAGCTAACTTTGTGCTCGAGCAACAAACACGTATGTCCGCGAGTGAAAAGTGTAGAAATGCGAGATGAGAGTGCAACGTACCCAATTGGGGTAGACGACTACCGTGCGGTGTAGTGATATCCGGCGACTGTATGTTTTGGTTCGGGAACACAACAGTATCCGTGGTCATCAGGGTTTGTGATAGTTCCCATAGGTTCGTGGGCTCCTCAAACGGTCCCAGGTCGGTGTTCTGTGCACTAACATTTTCTAGATAGATTGTCAAAGAGTCTTTCGATTCAGGCTCCGGTTCAGTCACGGACGCCTTCCCCGAGTTTGTTTGAGCGTAAAGCCAGATGAGCAGATGGTGTACAGCCTGTTCACAAGCTTGACGTTCCACAACCGCTTGCAAATAGCGAATTGCATGTGCTGGTGTGAGCAGTAGAATAGCCGGGAGTAACCTGAAAACATAGGTTGAGATGTGTCTGAAAAAATTCTGCGCAATAGAGCCAACAATGGCGTCTCCAGTTTGATTTGTTCATGCTACACGATAAAATCTAATTGGTATCTAACTCACAGTTGCTTTAGAGTCGTTTTGTGTGAGATTTGTTATGGAGTTCGACTGACCATCCGTCAGAATCCATCTTCACTTACAATCCTGAGTTCGTTCAGTCAGCAATACAAGCAGGAAACACCAGATTCGAATTCCGTCTAAGCCGGGATTGGAACTCCGGACTCCTCGTTTGTTACACTACCATAGTTTGGAGCTGTCGGACCAACATATGACTGAGTACATATGATGACGGCTTCCGAACCAACTTGAACTGGCAATCTTAGTCACCTCGGTGGTGAGTTAGCTAACGCAAGGGTAACGTATGCATTTTCCGCGAGAGGAAACAGGAGTTTGAATCCCGGACGGCCTGGTGGATATCTATGACCGCGGAACTCTAAGCAGAACAAAACTTGGGTCCAGTGCTCGTCCTCGATTTAATGGTCAACTGGATGTGTGAAGAAATCCGAGGGACGGCCAGACAAAATCAAAAGCTAACTGTATCGTAGTATAAAGTCTAAAAATCCACAAAACAACTACAATTTGAGTCTGAAAACATTCTCAAGTTTCCCGACGAAATAGACACTAATACACCGGTAGTCCAGATTCATAAACACTTTCATTCTTAAGGTGAGAAGGATCTGGGAATCATCATTCAATAAGAATTGAGCAGCTCACTCAAATAGGGCCATAGTGTCGAAAACAGCTGTAAAAAATGTCGGTTTGCTCAGGCGTGTCTTCGATCGATTTGAGTTGGCGCTTTTCTCCTCTGCTATCAGCATTCGCTGGCCATAACGTGATTGCAAAATGCTGGAGCGTCCACCAAATCGATTAAAGGGTTGAATCGCTATTCATGCGCAGAGACTGGAGTTATTGGGGTTATGTTCCAATCACTACCGGCGCATCAGAGAAGATATGATTATGGTAAACCAAATAATGCAAAATCCAAGCCATCCGTGTCGCCCGCTGCTTAACTAATTACCCAACGTTCATCTCAGAGGATATCCGTTCAAACCAGTGGTCTCGGAATGCCGGCATCAGACATTCGCAGTTCGAGTGTGTGTTCGGTCTGGAACTCTCTCCCGCACCACGTCGTCTGTGCGTCAAGCATTTAATCTTTCAAACTGAGACTTGATAAAACACTTGCACACCTTACACATTTCAACATAAGTGAAGCTGCGTGCAGCAGTGGAAGAACCCCGTATAATGTGCCATTTCTACACGTGGAACTGTATGCATCACTGTCTTTTAACCATAAAACGAACCTATGGGACGAGAATGGCATGAACTTGGAAGTTATTCGCATAATAAAACTTTGATTACTGAACAGAGCATACACGCAATCATCATAGCGGAGCAAGTACCAAGAACACGGGCGAGGGGAGGGGGAGGTGAGACGGAGTCAGTATACGAACCGGGGAGGATTGAGTCGTTTTCCCAGACGCAACCAAATTTGTACCACGCGTTCGGTTTCGTGAAGAACCAAGGTCACTGCGTGCTCATACATTCGATCCAGACAACTTCTTGGTTCGGAAACAAATGTGTCCAGAGCCTCCTTGTACATTCCCAAACGCATATAATGATCGACTAGCCGGGGATAGTCTACCGGGGCGAGGGGGGAGAAAACAGACAATTATGAACAGAACCACATGAAATGAACAAAATGATAGCACACACACACACACACACCCTCCTACCCTTCGGAAACCGATGAAATTAGGTCAGGAGATGACGACATTATTATTATTCAACACTTAACCAATTACAGAGAACTGGCAAATGTGCCACAACATATGAACAGAAAGAAATTTCAAGAATGAGTTCATGGTTTTGTGGCCATGTTACTTCCCGGTTGCCCTGGCCGAGGAAGGGGGCTAGCCTAGGGGTCCCCATCCGAAGTCTTTGGTTAGAAAACCAGACCTGCAAGACAGCAGGACGGAGCTCAGAGTCCGCAATTCGATGTCCAGTTCATCGGATCATGCGCCCTTCGAACCGGGTCAAACGTCCAAGGTGCCCAGTACACCTCAATGCCCAATCGAGCCGGTGACCACTGCCACAACTGGGAAGGTGTGGGTGTGGTACGCACGCTTCCTCATGGTTGATTTGGAATCAGGGTTTTTGGCCAACTCCCTTAGGTGAACTACCAGTGATCCACCAAACCGGTTATATCCCCCGATGTCGGCTTTTCATCCTCTAAGTTTGGTGGTAAAACACCGCCAGCACGCGAAGACAGTTGGTAAGGCTTCCTCCGCAGAGGCTATTTGAGACGCTTTGTCGTATGGGAGCATTTCAAGAGGTGTAAGGAAATGGTGACCAGCCACAATCCCAGACACCCACTTCTGACCATACTGAGGCTTTCGACGGAACAGATGTTTCACAAAACGGAACTATTGTAGAGGAACACAACTCGTCGTGTAACGCACGAGTGAAATAGTAATTATGCGTCCAATGAATACGAGCGAGTTTCTTTATCAGTCTCAGGAAACCTGAAATCAACATGACAGATGAAAGAGTTTCCGTATCGGACGATAGAATATACTTCATCATTGTGGCACGCGCAATCAACTGCGCTTAGCGCCAACTCCTTTTGCGAGTAAAACAACACGGAGAACGATGCGAACAATCACCTGATTAGACGTGATAATTCGGTGACCGTTTATCAGACGGAGCTAATTGAATAAATCACGCGATGTGGTTGGTCAGGTTGTTCATCCCAATGAGATCGTATCCAGCTCGAGTGGAGAATAATATCTGCAGCTTAAGCAGGACTACTAAACTCGGGTTTGTGACGGCCTAGAAACAGTTACCGAATAGTGACGACTATCGTTTGCAGCCTAAAACTCTCCGGAAACCTCACCGAGACTAATCGATCCGATAACTCCAATCACACTGTTTCCATTGATTCACATTCAAAATAGCACAATCCACTGGAATGCGAGAGGAGGGGGGACGTTATAGGCTTCGCTCAATTGAGCAATACCCACTAGGTGGCAAACTTCTGTTCTACCTGTGAGTGACCCAGTACACTTCTTGTTGCAGTAAAATGATCATACTTTCACCAAGTTGAATCATCTGTACGAAGCCTCTCAGTTTCCCGGTTCAATTTCCCAATAGTTTTAGCCGAAAAGTTGCCTGACATATTGGCCAGGGATCCTACGGTACTCTTATTCCTCATTTCTATTGTTCCGGGGTAACGAACGATGCAACACATGAACCAAATAGTCAAGAGGATCTACGATTCAGATACCAGAATCGGAGACCTAAATAACAGGGGACTTGAAGTGGCGAATTGCACACGGGTCAAATCGCACTATGAACATGGATGGTATCGAGTCGTCCGACAACGGTGATGCCTACTTTGTCTCAACCGGTGGGGTAGAGAAACAACATCATCAACAACAACAACAAAAATGAAAGGGGTGCAAAGATTGCATTGCTATACACACACACTCACCACCCATGAGTTCTGTGACAAACACCATCTCCTCGTGATTTCCATAGCTTTCGATCAATTCATACAGAAGAACCTTGATATCCGGCAGGAATTTCTGTGTTTTTTTTTTTTTTTTTTAGGGAGGGGGAAGGAAAATACAAATAGTTTAGTGCACAAAAACCGATAAAATGAAGGCCAGATCATGACGGCGGTATCATGTATACGTACCAACACTTCTGGTAGTGTGAACAGTTGTTGAAATTCATCTCTGGTGGCTTGAAGACGAGACTGGAGCATTTCATCACCGTCCTCTTTAGATAGACTCTCTCGTAGGTAGCCCATTTCGGAAAGCAGTAGTTCACCCAGCCACAGGGTGAGAAGCATGATCTGGTTGATTTGACTCGATACACCGCAAACCTGTGACAGTTCAAGATTGTTCGGTTTTTTGTTTGTGCTTTCCGACTGACTTTTGATCAGTTCATTCAAACGAGATGAGATCAGTGTTCTTAGAGGTGCAGACGATTCAATACTCATCCCGAGTTTTGACTGACACCCGGTAGACATCAATTTGGGCATTCGAACCGGGCCTGATCCATCCACACCATGCAATATCGCATCCAGCACGTCGTGATCATCCATCACGGCCAAACCCTGAGGTACCGGAGCCAAAGAAGCATCCTGATGAAACGGAAGTTGACTGAAGCGCAATGCTAGTTCCTCGAACGGGACAGAAGTGTTTGCGAAAAGTTTTGCCGATCGGACAAAGCTAGAATAAGAAATAAGAAAAACACGGAGAGAAATTGAATCCGAGGAATCTCCACTCACTTTGTTTATTGATTCAAAAACAAAGACATAGATAGTGAAACCTTCAAGGATTTTGAGATTCAATGAAAAAAATAACGCACGATTTCATCTTATTTCATAACATAGCAGAAATAGCAGAATGTGAGTATTGCAAATAGCGAGCAACTGAGATCGAAGTAAACGAGTATGCGCATTCATCAGGGACCCGAAAATTTCCATACTAGATTGGAACTACATTTATCGTATTTGGGCGCGTTTGGTTTTACAAAATTATCTGGTGGTTGTTCGAATGAGACGAGACCGGATCAGCGGTGCTAGTAACATTTTTATCATGAGCTCCTCAAAAAGCCTCAGTATGATCAGAAGTGGGTGTCTAGGATTGAGGCTGGTCACCCTTCCCTTGCACCTCGCCAAATGCCCCCATACGACAAAGTGTCTCAAATAGCCTCTGCGGAGGAAGCCTTACCAACTGTCTTCGCGTGCTGGCGGTGTTTTACCACCAAACTTAGAGGATGAAAAGCCGACATCGGGGGATATAACCGGTTTGGTGGATCACTGGTAGTTCACCTAAGGGAGTTGGCCAAAAACCCTGATTCCAAATCAACCATGAGGAAGCGTGCGTACCACACCCACACCTTCCCAGTTGTGGCAGTGGTCACCGGCTCGATTGGGCATCGAGGTGTACTGGGCACCTTGGACGCTTGACCCCGTCCAAAGGGAGTATGATCCGATGAACTGGACACCGGCTCCTAATGGATTGCGGTTTTCACACCGCCCCGCTGCCTTGCGAGTCAGCCTTTGGCTAGCCGACGGCTCCGGTTGTGGATTCCTCAGGAAAATTAACTTACTTTGGCCTGGGCAACCTGGTAGTATTCCGCCCACATGCATCATCTTTGTTCATAAAGATTATTGTACGACGATTGGTTTGGCACACAGTCTGGCGTTAGACGTGTGAAATATATATATATATATATATATATATATATATAACCTTGTCACTTAACAGTGTGTGTGTGTGTTGAACAGTCTCATGCGGTCCGTCAATGAAAGAATACAGTAACAATTTCCGATTGTGCTAAGTGTACCCACCTTATTTTAGTGTAATCTACAGGGCGCTTTGGGTCACAATGGAATAGTTGATAACACATTTGGTTCAAGATCATTTCGCTCATTCAACGAGCTCTGAATGTGGAGAGTGGGGGGTAGGTGGGCGTGTGAATACCTAATCACAGGAGCACATAACAAAACTAAAGTGATCATAATGAGGAAACACAATCATGAACGTTCCGTAAATCATGAGAACAGTCGATTTCCATCGCATGGTGATCTAATGCGATAGACGACTCTCAGTGCATTATTTATAGTGCGCACGAACAGAAAAACGAGAACAGATTATTGACGGAGTTCGATTTTACGCTATTAGAAATGACCGAATGTGATTTGACCATTTCACCCTATGCGTTTAATCCGATATCATAGTATCCCCGAATGAGTGGGCAAGTACGTGACATAACAAGAAAAAAGACATGACTTCCATTCGTGTGACAGTTGAAACACAGTTCACAAGGCAATACAGTGTCAGTTCGAACTTTAACAAGAGTGTCAATCATTCTCAATGATAAATCTTCAAAAACTTTCATTGCATCTTCCATACGAGCGGTGGTGGTAGTGGTAGTGAAATGTCTTAGAACACCATCACGTCGCTCAGGAATTCCTCTGTCATCACTGTTGTTCACTTCTGTTTATCTCCGAAGTAGCTTTCGAGCGGTTGATTTCGTCTCTCCATTCAGAAAATTGTTGACAGCATGGCAGAAGAATGGGAGAAACTGTTCTCCATATTATTGTTCATTAAGGCATTGTGTATTATGAATGACACCTGTATCATGCTTGTTAGCCCTTTATCTGCTGGCTGATCAAACTCACTGTACAGGCACAGAAACTAAAATAAACAAAAAAAAACAAAAAAAATACAACAACAAATTGTCAGAGGACTCAAACGAACCGGACAAAATTGACGAGCCATATCGAACTGGCCTCGTTTTAGATAGATTTGCCAAACCCGACACAGTTCATTCGTCACTTTCATCTGAACTACACCTTGACTGCCAAAAATCCAAACGGTCTCGGTGACCG